GGGGGCCGGTGTTGCCTGCCGGCTGCTGCTGATGGTGGTGGGGGTGATGATGCTGATGCTGATCAGAATTATTTTGATTTGGATGTTGATGATGGTGATGATGATGCTGATGATGCTGATGATGCTGATGTTGTTGTTCCTGATTGCCCCACTGCAAGCGAAGCTCCCTCTCATCTGTTAAAGCAAATATAGGTGACAGGTCAGACCTGCAGAATCATAAGGAGGTGATGTCCATGATGGACGTTAGGTTAGACAACATCCTCTCCTCCCCAACCTGCTCGATGGACTTCAGCGGACAGTCCAGGACAGAGCTGGCCCTCCTGACCAGTTTGTTAAGTCTTTCTCTGTTCCTCTCTGCCACCACTCCTGCAGACCACGGCATAGAAAATAGCAGATGCCACCACAGTGTCATAAAATGTCCTAAGGAGAGTCCTGTTCACCCCAAAATATCTCAGTCGCCGTAGCAGGTGGAGACAACTTAGACCTTTTTTTTTTAGAGTGCATTTGTGTTTGTGGACTAGTCCAGTTTGTTATTGAGGTGAACACCCAGGTATTTGTACTCCTCCACCGTTTCAATGTCCAAACCCTGGATGTTCACCGGCGTAATAGGGGGTGGCTTCTTGCTGAAGTCAATCACCAGCTCCTTCGTCTTTGTCACGATCCTGGGTCTTATGACCCAGTGTTTTGAGTTTAGTTTATTTGGATGTTTATATGATTAAGCTCATGAGTTTTTCTACTTCTTTGTTATTAGATTCCCCTTGTGTCTTCCAACCCCTGTTAAGTCTCCCCTGCTCTTCATGTGTTTCATGTCTGTGTCTTACAGACAAGTTCTGGTTGTCATGTCTGCGTGTCATTATGTTTCCTATTTTATTTTGAAGAGATCGTGTGTTTTTGTATTATGGATTATGTTTTGAGTCCTTTGTTGTACTGTGTTTCTTGTTTCCCTAGATTTCAGTTATGGTTATCATAGGTTTAGTTCTTTGGCTTTGTAATATGGCTTCCCTGTGTTCAATGTTGTGTCTACTGTGACCTTTTTGTACCATGTTTCAGGTCCCTATGTTCTGTCTTCTCAGTTGCTGTTAAGTTTGCATGTTTAGAGTTCAGTCAGTGTGTTTCCTGTTTTACTTTGAAGGTCCACGTCTCATGTCAGTGTTTCTAGTTTTGCTTCCCTTGTCTCGTCCGGCCTGATTACTCCCAGCTGTGCTCTTCTGTGTCTCTCGTTATCCCTCTGTGTATTTAAGCCCTGTGTTTCTCTTTGTCAGTGTCGTGATCTCCCTCATGGCTGTGTTTCCTTGCGTGTCAGTTTACCCATGTCCCAGTTTAGTTTTCCATGCCATTCTGCAATAAAGCAGCTTTTTAAATTTAATTTCGTTGTCGTGAGTTTTGCGTTTGGGTCCTTCTCCTGCCTGTACACAGCCGAAACATGACAGTCTTGCCAGCATTCATGCGAAGATGGTTCTGTTCGCACCAGCTGACAAAGTCATTGATGACCCCCTATATTCCAGTTCATTTCCCTCCGACACCCACAATGGCAGTGTCGTCTGAGAATTCCTGGAGATGGCAAGTGTCCGTGTTGTAACTGAAGTCCCTCGTGTATAGGGTGAAGAGGAAAGGGGTGAGTACTGTTCCTGGGCCCCCGTGCTACAGACTACCACCTTAGACACACAGTCCTGCAGCCTCACATACTGTGGTCTCCTGATGTACCTCATCAGGTCAATAATCTATGAGGACAGCTGTTGGTCCAATCCCGCTCCCTGCATCTTCTCCCTTAGCACTGAGGGTTTGATTGTATTGAAGGCACTGGAGAAATCAAAACACATGACTCTCACAGTGCACCTGGCGCTCTCCAGATGAGAGAAGGCCCGATGCAACAGGTAGGTGACAGCATCATCCACCCTAATGTTCGGCTGGTAGCCAAATTTCAGCAGATCTATATCTCTCCCGACTAGTGGGCGAAGGTGAAGTAAGATCCTCTCCATGGTCTTCATCAGGTCTGAAGCATCATCAGTCAGGAAGAGCCACCAACAACCTCTGAATCCCAGAACTTCCAGGTGTATTTAGTGTCAGTTGATTTAATGCTAATGTCTTGGAAGGCATTAGCATTAATGTCCCATTATTGGATAATCTTGTTTAAAGACCCAGCCCATTAGAGCTGGTTTAGGGTCTGACAGATGGAGCACATTGTAAACGAAAAAGTGGAAAGTCAGCCACCACAGAAAACCATGGCGATAACAGGATGTATTATGAGTGTTTCTCTAGAACGACATGTCACAAACTGAATGCATCGCTGTATTCAGTTTGTGACATAAGTGGCACAAACTGTTTTGGAACAGCAACAAAAAAAGAGAACTGAGAGTTTTAACTAAATGTATTTACTCACTTCTGAATAGCTCAACAGAGAGAGATTTTTATGTGATATGTTTCTCACAGAGATCAGACTCAAACTCCACCTAGTGTTATAAAAAAAAATGCTTTCTGACGATGCACAGACTTAACCAGCTTAAGCTGCAGGTGACTCTTGTTTGGAGTCAGAATGTATTGGATTGGATGATTGAAGTCTGAAGAAACAAAACATATTGGCAATTTAACCACTTGTTCATTTAACAAACACTGGCCTCATTAGCCTCAGTAGCATGTAGAAGAAGCATACACAGGCATGACAGCCTGGCAGCTGCTACTTATGCTGGTCACCATCTCGGTCATACACTGCTGTGGGATGCCATCCTATTCATCCAAATCTGCCAGTGTGGTTGTGTTGGTCACTCGAGCACAGGACCGCAGGCAGATCATTCCATCCTCTCCACTCCCAGACACTGGAGTTAGTCTCTGATAAACCGCGCTCTGTCGGGGTGAGGATCTTGGAGGAAAGAGTCTGGCCCCAGACAGCGGAAATAAAAGATTGCCTATTGAAGAATCTCACCTGACTATCTCTCTGCACTGAAGTTGAGACAGCCTCACAATATCACACTGCCTCCACCAGAAACTGTTACCCTATTGGTGCAGTGATCAGCGTATCATTCTCTTTGTCTTCTCCACACCTTAACCCTGCGATTCAACTGCTGTAGGAAGAATCTCAACTCATCACTGTACATAACCTCCCTCCACATGCTCAGGCTCCAGTGCACATGTGATCAGACACCAACTGACCTTTGTGGCAGTGTACCAGCATCAGCACTTGTATCAGCAAAAAGACAGAAGCTCAAAAGAAATCAATAGCAGAATAAGCTGTTTGGCACAGACAGAGAAGATTTGGCAAGTTATTCATGGGCATAACTCTGTTGCCCAACGCTCAAATTTGTGTTGACAAACACAACATATATATACACGCACACACATACAAGGGGATATGCTTGCTTGGTTTTCTGATTTTCTCAAAGTCCCAGATTAAAGTTTTCATGGATTAAAGATTTTTTTTTTCAGAATCTTGCCACAATCATAAATGTAAACAATCTGTAAATGAAAAAAATTGAAGGTTTGTTTGGGCAAGTAAAAGTATAAGTAATTTACATGTAAATAATATATTATGGGGCTTGGAGAGCTCTGCAAATGACAATTTAAGCAGTGTACAATGACGGGTGAATGGGAGGCTTCACAGGGGCTAACTAAAATGGACTTTAAGAGGTTTTGCCTGAGCACAGTTGCTTATATTTTAAATATGAATGCACAAACTAAATAAGCACATTCTTACCCTTTAGTCGCAAACGCCTCTTCCGTTTGGTCTGGATGCAACAAATGATGACAATCAGGATCAGCACCAGAACAATACCTGATGGTGAGTAATAACAGCAAATTAAATTAGAATTGTGAAAGTGAAAAAACAGAATTTATTTCATGTGTTCATTGCTTCAAGCTTTCCTATGCATTTTCTCACCATAGCCCCAAATATGATGTCAAGATTGTAAGTGGAAGCCAAAACTTACCTGCTCCACCACCCACAAAAACCCAGATGCTAATTCCAAATAGCGTTTCAGGAAAAGCTTTAAAATAAAAGGACAAGAAAGGTATCTTGTTAGCATATGAGCTCAATAAAATTACTATTTCAATCTCATGAACATTTGGAAAAAGGCACATTTGATCTATTTTACACTTGATAACACATAATACTTACAGGACTTAATGCAGTCTTGTTGAACAGGCTGACTGGTCTCAGAGCTGACGCGGTTAGAAACACTGCAAAAGAAATTAGCATTTTGCACGTCTTTGACTAGTCTTGTCAGGTCCTTGTCAGTCTCTTTTTCTGCCGTCTTTTTATCAACCATAAACCATTTGATCTGAAGATTATTTTCACTCTGTAGACAAAAAGACAATTAGTGGATTAGTAGATAGTTCACAAGTCTAACATAAAGTCCAAACTGGCTAAAATTAGAAATATAATAATCTTTTCATACATTTTCAGTAATTTGCCAGCCTATATAATTAAATAATACATACATAGATACCCAAGCCTTGCTGAAACAGCATCTGTGAGTGACTGCATCTAGACAGCACACTTTATACCATGCTTAGTTTCAGTGGAGGGGAAATGAGGCCTTTGTTTACAGATTCTTCAACAGCTTAATTATGAGTCAGTTATTTGTAAAGTACTCCAACTTAATTGTACCTGAAACAATAAATATTGTACTCACCTTAATAACATTGCAAGTAAAAGTGACTTTAGTCTTATCACACTTCATTGTCACTGTGGGCTTCTGCACAGGGTCTGAGGACAGAAAATTTCTTTATATCAACATTATATAAACTACTGCTGATAATGCTTTTCTGCAATAACAAGTACTGTTGATTGATAAAACTGAACAGTGACTGTATAATAAAAACAAACACTTTACTCTTAATTACAAAGCATGAATGGAACAGGTTCTGATGGATTAGCACACTTGGTTGTTGTTATAGAAGAAGTACAAACACAACAAATACACGTATAATATGTTGCTACTTACCTAATACACATAAACGCATGATTGGTAAATCTCCCACATTTATTCCATCTGCATTGGTAACCTCTGGTTTGTATCGTCCTGACTTGTCTTTGGTGAGTTGTGTCAGCTTTAGTGATCCAGCTGAATCAACATCATCATTTTTCCCTTCAATCATCTGTTTCTGTCTGCGATAAAAGACTACACGTGTGTCCTTGATCCATTTCAGACTCTCTGAGTCTTTTAACTTGTAGTTAAGTGGCACAATAAAGTTTGATCCTGTTGCATTGTACACACAATCATCCTGAGAGCCTTTGAAACAGAAAGGAAAGTGAAGAAAGAAGAAAAAAATCAGATGAGAAAATTAAATGAGTCATGTTACAAAAGCTCCAAACAACCATATATCATTTTATAAGAGCCAAGGTAAATTAGGATTTTTTTTTTAAAACATAAGAGCAAATTTAGGTTCTTACTAGTTTTAAACTAGCACAAATCAAAACTTCATAACATCTACAGATCTGTCACAAATTTCATATCAAAAGTTGACTAATCAAAATATTAGGCAATAACAGTGTGTTTAGTAGTTGATGACATTGCCAACCAACACTATCTGTTGTGCATTTTTTAGGAACTACCATAGACTGCTCTTAAATTTACTGATGGGTTTTGATCAGGTTTTAATTACTTTTGCAACCAGTTTAAAGCAGAAACTTGTGTACTATTACTGCTCATTTCTCCTGGAACTTGAATGTAGTTGCTTCTTTGCAAAAGTGTCTACATTGCCTTGCTTGAGTTGGTACAGAGCTTGTAAACACATTTTCTGACTTCCTGCATGTCCCAGTTTTTCTGAGTGACTTCTTTTTGTGAGCTTCTACTCATGAACGTACAAAATCAGTCAAATGTCAGATACAATGTATAAGTTGACAAGTCACCAAAATACAGCTGGTATTTAAGAATATAGTTTGCAGTTGTAGTTTAGTCACATAATGTTAGCAAGAAGTTATGTATTGTTAGTTTCGACTGATCGAGCTGACAAACGTCTGTAACATTATATTCTGTGGGCGTCCTGCACAAATCATTTCACTCCATCACTGAGGCTGGATGATGGTTGCATTTCATCCTGTTGCCTCTCTTCAGACCACAGTGTGCAGCGATCCTCATCTAAACATGCTCTAAAGGTGAAAGGTTTGCCATCAATATATTTTATTTGTAAATGTTTAAAGAGGCGACTGGAATCTATCAGAGATCACGAGGTGCTGAGCAGACAAAATACACCAAATGTGTAAAAACAGTTCTCAGTAAAATAGATTTTGCAATCAGTGAACAACTTTGACACAGTTTCAATTTCTGTGAAGGGAACCCACAGGAAATAAGTGGTTATATAAGTCATGTTCTCATGAAGCACAACATTAATATTTTCCAGGATGATCATAAAAAATTAACTTCTAGTCAAACCTCGTTTTGAGTCACTAGTCGTGGCTGCGTGAGTCTTTACTCAGAGGAGGACACAAAGTCGCTCATTAGTAATTACCTTAAACCTTTGTTACTGCAAATGAAAAAAATAAATATTTCAGCAAAACCACAGTTTTCTTTAACTTTAAACAAAAGTGTTTTTCTGCTCTAAATCAGAAAACCACAAGTTAGACTCAGTAATGTGAACCTTTGAATACCTTCCACTTCCTGTCAACTACAAGAGCTCATCACCAGAAATGTAGTTTTTTCTTTTATGTGTACTTAAGAAAACATTTAAAAAAGGACATAAGGACTAACAACAGACAGCACTACACTGTATTAAGATCAGACATAGCTGTTAGCAAACATGCTGAAATCATCAAAACCTCTCACAGCGAACCAAGAAGAAGTGAAATGATGTAACTCATGACATATAAATACTGCAGAAGAGCAGAGGAGCAACAGCTTCCACGAATACATGCTAACTGAAATAAACTGTGATATAAAGTATTGGATTCAAATTTGACAATGAACTGCAATCACAAGCATTTTTAAGGCAGTAACATGAGTAGAATGAGTCACTTGGTCTCTAAAGAAGCTGTTTCCTCTACAAAAATTCACAGAATTGTTCCGTATCGACGGGTGAAGTCACTTTTGCAGTTCATAACCCCGTTTCAAACTGTCATGCTGACAAACAATAGAGGAATGTGTGAAGGCTGCATATACCAGACACCAACGCCATCATTACGCCTCCGCAGAAGGTGACATTTAAAAACCAGCAACTTAACTGCTGTTGAGCGTTCATCAGATGTATTCACATAAACATGAAATGATTTAAACGTAAACGGCTCAAAGGAAAAAGGGGGAACAGAAAGGAGAAAGAAACAGTTTGTTTTGTGACCATAAATTAAGAATTACAATATTTGATGGACGTAAACTAAATTTTAAAACTCTGTTATAACACATTACTTTATATATATTCATATAAAAAAATCATAAATGCAATTCCATATAATTCAGTTTACTAAAACATTTTTGACTGTATTTTTTTTGCTCTTTTTAATTCTTCATCCTCTCCATTGTTCAGCTCTCACAGCTCCTTTTCTGCACTGAGCGCTCGCTGCTTCTATGGGTCACCTCTACTTCTGCACCTTTGCATCGCTTCCTGTTCATCCCCATCTCAGACCAAAGTTACCACATCAGCAGCGATGTCTGCAGAACGTTCTGGACTGTTTCTTTTGTCTAACACTGATGTATTTCTGGCCGAGGTTTTCAGTTCACCCCCAAAAATCAAAGACATGTCTTTTTTTTATATATGCATGAAAGCACAACCTAAAAGGAAAGTAAGCTTGAAGCAAATATAGAAAAAGAAAAGCAGAGTCCAGTTTTTAAAAAATAATAATAATGATAATAAGAAAAAACCTGCACGGCTAAAACCTCAGCAGGAACTAAACCTTCACCCTCGCCCATGTCAGCCGCTCTACCCCACAGTATTACTACAGGTCATTCGTTAGTTCCTCTTTAGTTTTATTGAGTTTTTCCTCAATAAAATAATCATATTTAAAGGACTGGTAAAATTATTGTGGATGGTTTAGTTTACTACAAATAAAAGAAGTAGTTTTAATAGTTTTTCTATATTATTTACAGTCACAAAATAAATTTCCACTGAGAGACTCAAACAGAAACACAGAAATATAGACTTTTACTGCATATTTTTTAAAGGATAAGTATCTTTGTAGCGCCCATGGCTGAGAGGTTCAATTGAGTATTTCCTTGACAAAAAAAAATTGGTATAAATGTAAACCAATAAGTTTGGATTTTAACAATAAAAACCTGAACCTGACAGAATAAACAGATTAATTGAAACATACCTGTGGAGGGAACGAAGCAGCAGCAGAGCAGAAACGCAGCGATGCTGACAGCAGAAGCCATCTTCTTCACTGTTCTCATCACATTCAGCTAAAAAGAACAGCCTCTTTCCATTATCGAGGTTATTTCCTGTCAGAGCGCAGTAACTTCACATATTTTATGTGTGTGTGTGCCACCGTACACGCACGTGTGTGCGCATATATGGTTTTGAAAGGAAGTGATCCAAGAGGCCTCATCTGCTGTCACAGATAAAGAACAAAGCAAGCCAAGCAAATGTCACACTTAGTAGACAGAGTGCATCTTTTTTTAGTTTTAGTTCAGCAGTATAAATATATCTGTGATCTCCTATTAGAGATGCTCAAAAGGTAACCAGAAGTTCAAACACCAAACTGCTGAAATCTGGGTAGCAGGTGAAATTGTAAAACTTAAAACAAAAGCAAGTGAGAAATATAAAAGCTCATAAAACCATGAGCGAGTACGTAATATGACAGTTAAAGTTATGTAAGAACACATTATATCTGCATTTGTTTCCAGTTAAACACCTGCAGCTAAAATGTCAAAACTGTAATCATGTTGAGGTTTAAAGCTCTTACCTCTGAGGGTTTGCCATGGTGAAAGGTCAGACAGTCACTGCACACGTTTTACCTGCAGATACTCCTGCACGTACACGTAAATGAGAGCTGTGCATTTGTGTTTGCACAAGTCCATGTTGCCTTTGCACCACTGCCCTGTCACAGGAAAAGTTCAAGATGCTGAATTGATTAATCTCCATCGAGGTGAGACACTTTCCCCCTCATAATGTTAAGTCCCTGTTGGATTTTAATAAGACTTTAAAATGTAAATCTTTTTGTTGTCCACTAACATCAAATTTGAGGGTTTTTTTTAATGATAGGAAAAAACAACCATCCACCATCATATTCATATATGTTTATTTTTACTCCAGACTGTGGGTAAGGCTTCAAAAACACTTCTTCCTACGTTTCCCATGATGCCATGGAACTCAATGACCGCTTTTGTTTTACCATCTCTGCCGATTCCTATAAGAGATGAAGGTAGCAGCTAAAATCTTCTTCTTATTTATTAGTAATCTTATTTGCATGTGCAGTCCCTTTGCAGGTTACATGCAAAAGATCATAAAAGTGCCACATAAAAAGTAAATCACAAACCCCCTGCACGTCCATTTAGCTATTCTGTCATAAAAACACAAAATACTAATGTGTTAAAGAAAGTATAGATTTTAGTAAACTTATGTTCTTAAATATACTGTTCTTCTTAGACACCATGCCCAAGTTCCAGTCTCCCATCACACTAGAACTCTACTGGGTGCAAAGCAACATCTCCGTCTCACTCGGACTTTTACATTTGAATGCAATGCATAATCTAGGAAGAATACTACAAATAAATTAAGTTATAAATAATACAAAATAAATAATTCATGTGAAGCATTCACTGTGTACTTCATTACACAGTGAATGCTTCAGTATTACATTGATTTCTCAGGGAAGAGTTGCTCAGTATATTGTACCCTAGGTTAGCACAGCGTCACCACCCGGAGCATTTGGGCCTTAATCTCTCCCAGTGAACTGGCAGTAAGAGAATGAATCAAACTGTTTGTACCACTGTGTTTCCTGCGTGCAGACTCTCGTGTTTTATTAGTATTATTATTAATACTGCTGAGTAAAGAACATATCGCACATGCAGGTGTCTATGGGCGAAGATGTGTGCATGAATTTGACAGGAGAGAAAATACATGAGGCTTTATGGCATCTGCCAGTCAAAGATGGTCATTTTGTCATTTCCAGCCTCTTTTTTTGGACTCTTTCAATTACATTATTAAATCTTTTATGGATTTAAGACACAAAAAAGCTCTTTCCGACCACTAACTGCGTGTAACGTGTGAGTCCTACCTGTACATGTCTGATTAAAAAAGAAAGTCTAAGAGTGCAACTAAAGCTCACTTCTCACATGTGGTTTGACGCCTCAGTGCAGGTCCTGGTCGTAAATGAAACAGGAGGAAACTCTTTGTATCATTTTCTGTAAAACACTCTGGTCAAGACTAAACTCTTCTGTTGGCTATCATATCATTCAGCAATGCTAAACTTCTTTTGCTTTTGGTTTTAGTACCTTAATCTTGTTCCCTTTCCCTTGTACAAAAATAAAAAGTTTGTACACATTATGAAGGAAAAGGTTTATAATCTTTTAACTTTACACACATCACACGACCTGTCAAAGCCATCGTTTCCAGTGGTTCGTTCCACTCAAGCTCGTTGAAGCCAACAGTGTCGAAACAGCTTAGATTTCTTAGATTTCACAGACTTTGGTGTGATGAGGAAAAAGAGCTTTCATACAAAAAAGTGGAGACCAAAACTCTTCAAGGATATTTTTATTTTTTCCGTGACGATCAAACTACAGCGGTCAACTGATGACTTCTGGTGTAGCTATTATTGCAAATGAGTCACTGACACCAAGGAAATGACACCAACATTAGTGCATGACACCCAGCGGGGACTTATTTTATCTGATCTATCCGCTTGATTATTTACCAAACTAACACACATTCACATAATGTGATTCCAGCATGGTGGGACACCGACCATAAACACCTACACGAATGGAAGTGTCGTTAAAAACCACAAAAAAAAAACAAACCCACAGATGAGGAGGTAACAGCACATCATCTAATGTCATGGAAAAAATGGGCATTTACTTAATTTATGTCAGATCTCAAACTTTTTCTGGCGTGGAAAGCATTACTTTCCCCCTTTTCAGTATCACACATCAGAAAAGCCCTCAGAATTTCTTACTCGCTGATCTAATAGAAAAGGTGCCAACTGACCGTGCTGAGGTCACTGCGACTGTTTCAATCTTGTTTAATTAAATTTCTTTTTTTTTTAAAACAACAGGACACTTGCCCACACCTGCTCCACTGTGTTACTGTTAATGTATGTAAAAAATATGAGTTCAGCTTTGACGATGAAAGGAAAACACTCACAGAACCAGCATTTGTTTCCTGCTCATACAGTAGCTGCACACTCAACACTTCATTTAATAGATATAAAAACAAACATATTTGCTTGTTGTCCACAGGGTGGCACCATTATATTACAGATGCATGTAGTACAAAAGCTGCTACAAACAGGAAGAACCTTTATGGTATTATATTAGTAATAGTGGATAACATCTGATTTTACAAATTAGATTAGAAATCACGATGAGAAGTGAGCAGATCTACATTATATTAATCAGACTCATAAGCTTTTCTCATGTTGTCACTTTGTGCAAGTTTGTGGTTGTTTTAGTCAAATCTTTGGAGCAAATGACATTTCCTTTTTTCTTTATATAAACAGTGTTGGGAAGGTTACTTTTAAAATGTATTCCACTACAGATTACAGAATACATGCCCCAAAATGTATTCTGTAACGTATTCCGTTACGT